ATCAAGATAATCTAAGGGCATTTTTAGTTTATTTTAACTTCATTTGCCTTCAGTTATGAACAATTTTCCTTGTACTTTTTGAGGTAAAAATACCGCTGAAGCAAAGCATTTCGCCCTGTTTAGAGGATAACATTTCTGGGTGTAGGTACGAAAAATGCTCTGCCCTGCTCTCAATTAATACCTTAAAACGTCGATTATTATATTGAACAACATGATCACTTTTGTCGACTTAGTTAATTTTTGTTTCAACTGCAAAATACAATTTCGCTGCTGGGCTTATTGAATTCGATTTTTGGTTTCCTAATACATTGAGTCCCAGACGGGGTACATGAATCACGTCTTATTGTGTTATTGTCACGTGGGACTCAACGTGTTAATGCTCTTTGTATAGTTGTTCCAATTTATAAAAATTTGCTTTTTAACAAAGTTTTACTGACAGGAAGACAAGCAAACTTGTCAAAAAAATCAGTGAAAATGTCAAAAGTGAGGTTCAAAGTTTCCGAGTCTCGACCAGGCCCCAGCCTACAGTGCCCTTCAGCGCTAAGTCGAACCGTCGGTCTCTCTCTGAGGATCCCCTGTGGACTCTCTCTCAGATTACAACCCGGATTTAGCGACTTTTCCTGCGCAGGCACCTTCAGCCAAGGCAGATGAAACCGACACTCGGGGCGGACCTACACGACCAGTGAATGTGATGGCGAATTGAGGTGCTTATATTCGCCTCTACAGCCTGGTAGGGCGCCAGCGAGAGCCACCCTGTCGGGCGGAATGGCGGTGAACGGGAATGGCGACAGGAGAAACACGGGCAGGGTTCGAATCGTGCGGCAGATAAAATGAGCACGCGTCCGCACGACGTTCACCGAGGTGAGCCCGGACGGGCATAAATTGCAAATTAAAAGGCTGGACCGACCTCGCGCGACACCAGCGCCATCGCGTGGTGCGGCGGGCGCTGCGGAGGCATTGCGTTTGAACGCGCCGCAACAATGTGAGGACTGACCGCTGACCGCGCGGCGCGCTGGGTGCGCGCAGCCGCCGCTACCCCCCGCCCCTGAGGACACCGACGACGGCACCGACCTGGGACTTGGGGATGACGTATCTCCAGAGCAGCCTGTCCGTCTTGAGGTCGAAGATGACGATCTGGGGCGGGCAGACGACCCGGATGTCGCCGATAGCGTCCACGGCGCCGCTGTCGATGACCCAGAGGCGGCCGCACTCGTCGGCCGTCATCCGGAACACCGACGTGAGCGCCTGGCACGAGTCGTTCTGGCCGGCGCGAGGCACGCGGTGCCACGACCAGTCGGGGTACGGCTTGAGCTTGGGCGAAGTGTTTCCCTGTGCCGAAATTATGAAAAAGTTATGTATTAAAATATAAGTGCAAGCACCAAATATAGGACACATTCTATTTTTTGACAATTTATTACACTCACGACTGTTCAGGTTTACACACAAAAGTGAGCGTGTAAATTTTAAACTCACCTCGGGGTACCTGGACACGTAGGCCAGGGTTGCCGGCACTCCCGGCTTCCATCGCGGGATGCTGACGAAGATCCTGTCCTTGTACGCCTCCACCCCGAGGGGTAGGTTGTTGTCGGGGTTGTAGTCGCCGTTGGCGACGGCCTTGGCGCGCGTCGCCTCGTCGGGGAAGTCGTAGTCCACCTGGTGGTGACCAGTGAACGTGTTAGAGTACTGACGCGGTCCCAGCCCTACTGCGTGATGGTGACGGTGGCCAGCTCACCCTCTTCCATCGGTACAGCTCCTGCAGCCGACCGTTGCTCGTGGTCGTGGTGCCGGGGCCCTGGCCGCGCGTCGGCCCCGCGCCCCCGCCCGCCGGCGCGCCCGTCCTGGTGCCGGGGCGGGCGGGACCGGGGCGCGACCCGGGCCGGTTGGCGCCACCTCCCGGTCGCTTGATCGTCGGCCTATTCGAGCTTCCGCGGACGGGCGTGGTGCCGGGGGCGTCCGCGCCGCCGACCACCGACATGCCCAGGAACCATGGCAGCAAGGACACGACTCCTGCAGAGAAAATACGCCAACATGCAACATAAATTCGGAGTAGATGAGGAAGAGCCAGACAGTTGAACTATTCACTGCTAGGGAGAGCAGCGGGACCTGACCCCCCAGAGCCAGCCTGCCTGCAGTACGTCCGTCCAGTCAGTCAGTAAATAGCTCACGGTCAGGCTTAATTACGCTCTAACCTCCGACGGCCAGCAAGCGGTGCACCAAGCGGTGCACCAAGCGGAGCACGCCCGGGGCCCGGGGTGATGCCACGAGTATACGAGTACGCGTCACGCCACCTCGCCGACAAGTTGGAGTCAATCGCCATTGGCTTTCAGGAAAAAAAAACTCTCTCTAGCCAAACCAAATTGCCAAAACGAGAGACCAACTTGACGAATAACCATAAAACAAGCGCTCACATAACGCGATCCAGTTTGGGGAGGCGTGGCTGGCCGGCCGGGTGGAGGGGTAACTAGCTCGTCGCCGCCGTTGCGCAATCCTGGAGAGACGGCTCTGGCACAAATAGGGCGTCGCGAGGCGGCGCAGGCCGGGCTGTCCGTCGCGCTATATTTCGCGCCGAGCACGTGTTGTCGACCACGACCATAGGGCATATGTCCAGAGGGCCACGCGGACATATGTCGTCCGTCCTTGGAGGGCGCGGCGGCGGTGGCCCGGGGGATGCGCCCTCTAATTCCGGAGGAGGGGCGCGCAGCCCTGCGCAGCCCGGGCGGCTTCTAATCCCCACGGCGACATCACAGGGGAGTGTCCTGCTGGCCACCTACTCACCGAGCCGGAGGAGGAGGGGAGCGGCCCTCATGGCGGGGGGTGCGCAGGCGCTGGCAGCGAGTCCGCGCCGGGGAAGTCCCTCTCTAGAGAGCGAGCGTCGCCGCCGAAGAGTCCTGGCGCGATGTGCGTCGGAGCGCGTCTGGCCGATCGTCTGGGCGTCCAGGCCTCTCCTCTCACGGTTCACCTGACCCCACCTGACCGGCCGACGCACCGCTGTACCACCGCCGCCGCCGCCCAGCCGGCCGCCCCTCTCCGGAACTGTGACGCGGGCCGATCTCATGCTCGCCCCGTCCGCCCCGCACCGGACCGAGTCCTGGAGCGTGGCGTAGCGTTGCGTCGGCCAGGAGAGAGACCTCCCCCCCCCCCTCCCCTGCATCATGATCACCGTGGGAGAGGAGAGGCGATGTGTGCGCTTCTCGAGGTTGACCGACCTTATTTATATGCGGCTATTTCACCCCATTAATTGTTTGTCTAAAAATAGCGCCTGTAAACTGTTGCAAAATGTAGAATGTGCTACCCGAAGAAAACGACATGGAAAAGGTTTCCTATATCAAAATTATATGGTAAAAACGTAATCGAAACGTGGAACGATGACCGAAATCGGAAGGTCAAAATCCACGTCGAAGTTCAGCTCTTTACGGACTCCTTGCCCGGCCTGGAGCCCCTGCGGGTAGGGCGGGTAGGCAAGCCCGGGCAACGCATGTGCTCGACGGGACTGCCTACCCACCAGGCGCTAAGCTGACCTGATAGGCGACGGGCATCGGCTGCTAGTAGCGCCAGCGCTCGAAATTAAAACGGCGCATTCCATACGCGCTCCATGCACACTACTTCATGCGCATTCGAAGCATTCAAAGTTTGTAATAACCTTTCGGTTGCACTTAATCTTCTAATGCTATGCGCTCTATTAAAGGTAACTTACTCTGCACGCTACTCGGGTAAGGAGGGCAAAAACACGAAAATTCAGATTCTCTATGTATCGTTGCATTGATCTTACAAATCAGCTGTACCTTGTCTGATTAATTTTCTGTTTGCCAATATAGATCCGTATGGTGTGGACGTTCTGTCAGACCCCTCCGTTTCCATCTCTTTTACCGGGCAGTGGTGAGTAGAACCTCCGCGCCTGCCGCGTCTTCCTGGCCGGCGTGGGATCTCTACTCTGCATGTGCTGCAGCAGGAAGCAACGGCGGCCTGCGGCGGCCTGCGCCTCGCCTCCAGCCATGCGGCTGCAGGCGCTTTACGCAGAGCATGCGAGCCCGAGCTCATCGGATGACTCCATCTCGGACCAAGTCGCAGCTTCCGTCTCGGCCAACCGCGGCGTGACTCGCCGTTATGTCGGACCGAAGTCTCCGCGCCCTCCTTCCTACTGCCCTTCACTGTCATTCATTTTCACTTTGTTTTCCCATTTTTCCAGCTAGACCGTCAGGAGAGGACTCCCGGGCGGGCAGGGACGAATAGAGGCGGGCAGGGCCGGGACGGGCAGGGCAGGGCCGTCCTGGTGACGCGCCAGGACGGACGCCAGCGCCGGACGAACGATGCCGCGTACCGCCGCGCGCACTCGACTTCCTGGTCAAGACGTTTTGGACGTGACATCGACGAAATGACAACGGTCTACATCGGCTGTTCTGGGAGGTGCGCGGCGCGGGCTGCTTCCTCGTCGCAGGGGCCGCCACCCCCTTTCGAAGCAGGAAACGTCCCGCAGCACGCGCTTCACGAAAATACACCGGCACCGTAAGTTGGCTGGCGACGCGACCGGGAAGAAGCTTGGCGAAAGTGTTTTATCCAGTGACGTCCGAGGGGAGGGACCCTCCTCGTCTTTTGGTGGGCGGACGACGCATACACGTCGGCGTCGTCGTCACGGCCGTGCTTGACACACGTCTCGTGAAGCGCGCATGTGGAGGCACGGGCGCGCGCTGCTCTGGAAGCACGGGGCCGGGCACGCGGCGCATCAGAGAGGCGTCGTTGGCTGCTCCTGGGCAGTATCAAGCACAAGAAGTCGAGCCCTTCTTTCCGACGGCCCAGACCGGGGAGCTCCGAGAATAAGAAGCAGAGACATCGTCCTCCTCCATAATTGTTTTCCGACCTGTCGCTCGCGGCGGCGGCAGCGTCGGTTAACGCCGCTTCATCGTCCCTGATGCAAATGTTTTTTTCGTATTCCCTGCAGCATATTTTTTCCTCCTCTCGGCGGCTCTCGAGGCGTCAAGGCGCGCCTCCTTCCTCTTCGTTTGCCGCTCCAGTGCCCCTGCGGTGGGAGCGGTGACGGCGCCCACGACATAGGCAGCCCAATGCACGCCTACCTTGTCCTGACGAGCTCCACTGCGGCGGCCCGCGCTGCTGCCAGGGGTCGGCGGCGGCGGCGTCGGCGGGCTGCACCGCCTCCTGCGGGGGCGACAGCCACTGCACCGGCGGCAAGGGGTGGTCCTCACGGAAACCGCTGCTGCCGTCGTAGGGCTGGCCCAGGATGGCGTCGTCGGGCAGCTGCAGCGGCCGGGCCGCGAGCGTGTCCTGCAGGCCGTCCTGGTCCTGGTGGAACGTGCCACGGAGCGGGTCGTGCGCTCGGTACGGGTCGTGGTGGTAGGGGCCCCGGAGGTCACTGCCGACGCCCGACTGCCAGGACGGCGCCGGCCAGACGCTGCTGCTACTGCTGCTCCAGGAGCCGTCCAGGACCTGCAGCAAACAAATAGTTAACAGGGGTCTCTATACTCTATCAGGAGGCGGGGGCGGGGCCAGGCGGACGGAAGGTCACGCTGTTGGGCGCGACGGGCGGGTTTTGTTCCCACATCACGCCCTGTCCGGGAACCGGGTGTGCGTTCGGCGTTTGGCAACGCCACGCCGCGCCACGCCACGCCGCGCCCTTGGTTACGGTCTACAAAGTAGAGCAAAGCCACGACGGGCGCTCAGAGACCAGCAGCGACAGGCCTCGTTTTATTCGCATCAGTTTCCGCAGCGACAGGACAGGCTCCGAGACATTTGCAGAACACTACTGGCCGGTCCGCGAGTAAGCGTTAAGCTCGCCGAAGTTGGCCGGGGGTTTGCACATGAATTATGCCATTTTCAGGGATATGTGGAACACTTTTTTCACGGCACTTCACCGAATGAAAGTGTTTCTAGACATATGTATCAACTTTTTAATTTTATTTTTTTAATTTTTTTTTCTGTTATCCATTAAAAGCTTTTCATTTATCAGCCCGCGAATCGGAGCTATATGAAACGAAAAAGACCAGCCCCATTAAAAACTGCGCAATTTGTGTACGCCCCCTCTGGAGCCGGTCGCGCTGCTGGTCGCGGTTCGGACCCTCCTCGCCTGGACCAGACTAGGCGGGGGGAAAGCCGTATAATGAAACTAGGCGGCCGGGGCCCGACTCACGTTCACTGCACCGTAAGCCGCAAAAGCCGAGTAAAATGCCATCAGCTCGGTTGGCCTGTCACAAGCGCCCCGCAATAATAATCTGTCTGTTCGGGTTCGGAATCGAAAAGCGCCCCGTCAGCGCCACCAACGCCGTCGCGTCGCGTCGACCGCGAACCTTGTGAGAAAAATGATCCTCGCGGGCGGCGTGGCGTGGTCTGGCGAGGCGTATCCTGGTCCAGACCCTGGTAGCCAGAGGGGCATTTCACTCCCCCAAAAATCAGTGTACACCCTTTAAAAAAAAAAGGTCAGGGAAAGATCAATTTTGAAAAATACAGAAAAAATGGCCAAAATCCGGAAAAATCAGACATTTTCTTTTCAGAAAAACAGTATGAACGTTTCTTAGTGTGCCCCTTGGCCTGCCTGATCCCCAGGGTAGAGCTGGCGCAGATCAGCGGCGGTTGAGAGCCGTAAACAACCCCGCGCCCTTGTGCCGGACGGGATCAGGAGGCGGTCGGGCCGGATCGCGTTTGCCTTATTGACACGCGTGCGTTATTTACCGCCGGGCCAAAGCGGCGGGCGGCCGATTTAACTGGCTCGATCACAACAGCGGCGGCGGGAGTCAGCTGGCGGCCGCGGGGGCGCTTGTTGGGGGCGTGGCGCGTGGCTCGCGGGGCGTGGTGGGACGGGGTGGCCCCCGACCGGACCCGGCCGACCTCACAGCAGCACCAAGCCGTGCGTTTGGGGTCCACAGAGATAGGTGCGTATGGGAGCGAGGTGTGGACCTTTTATGCTCAACACTTTTCAAACCCCGAGGCGGCGGCGGTGCGGCCTTCTGAGTATGACGCAGTGTGTGTGCGTGTGTGTGTGCAGTGCGAGCGGGTAAGGGAACGGTCCCACGTGGCCATGCGCACCGGGCCGTGCGACGAAAGTAGACGTAGTGAGTGTGCGCGCGCAAGTCCAGCGAAACACATGCAATTAAACGGGCCATATTCAGTGTGCGGCGCACCGGGCTGCAGCGTTACGAGTAGCGGTGCATTTACATGCAGCTGCCTGAGTGTGTTTGAGCAGTTTTGTCGTGGGAGGGGCGACACTGCCGCCGCCGCGTAGCAATGGGGTTTGTGTCGGTTTGTGTGAAGTCAATTTAATTGGAGCGCGTTGGCTAATTTGAAACGCGCGGTGGCGTAGTGTGGCGCAGTTATGATGGGCCGATCATCCCATGGCTTTCACCCGGCTCATGCGGCGTCGGCGCGCTCAGAATGCGCTCAGGCCTCCTCCGGGCTGTAGCACCTTCTACTTCTGTGAGGTGCGATGAGGGAAAACGCAGAAGTAAAACTACCGCCCACTAGAGTTGATTTTCCTCGTACTCACCGGCGGGGACAGCGCGCGTGAGATGTCGCTGCCGTCCAGGGGCGTGCCCAGAGGCGTTCCCAGGGGCGTTCCCAGCGACGAGCCCAGGGGTGCTCCCAGGCCGGTGGTTGGGGCGTGCTGGATGCTCCACGAGTAGTGGGAGGCGGCGGGGGAGGCGCCGCCCCCGGCGCCCCCGATGTGGAAGACGGCGGAGGACGTCATCACTGGCGGCGGCGGAGCAGGAGGGGTCGTCGGTGCGGGGGGAGCATGACGCCCTCACACTGCGAACAACAACGGCGGCGGCCTGGAGGTGGTGAAGGGGAATCAGCCGAACGCGCGACTGCAGGGCATTCGACTTTATGGCGCAATCGAGGCCGACCCGGCCGCGTGTATTTGCGCAGCAGCATTCCCTTCCCCCCTAGAACACCCTTATTGATGTCTCTATTCACGCGGGGAGCATTCTCTGTGCCGAGCGCCATGAACTCACCGCCGCCGGGGTCCTCTCGACGGTCGGTCACGTGCGCCGCAAATGATACACCTCGCGTGTCGCATTGTGCATCTTGCATCGGGCGCGCGTTCGTCTATCGCGTCGCCATCTGCACGCGCGCGCGCTCATCCTTGGGATCCACGCCACGCCAGGCCACGCCACGAGCGACCCGGCAGGCCACGAGAGGTGCAACATTGTGTGCCTATGGATCACCGCGCGGGGTGCGGCACTATTTCCAGTGAGCACAGGTCTTCGCCGCAGCTTCCTCATCACTTTTAGCTGGAAGGCGCGGGCCGCTGGCCGCAGAGCCAAGAAACGCGTCATATGGACGAGGATGTGTTTCCTCAAGAGTGGTCTGCTGCGGGGTCTGCGGGCGTGGTGGGTCCCACCGGACAACGAGCTACTACGCACGAACGGGCGAGGCGGCGGCGGCCCGCGTCACTTCACTGCCAAGGCCGCCCCGCCCCGCCACGCCCCGCCCCACCCGCTGATGTGCCAGCCGCGCGCGCCCGTATGTAGAGCGCCGGAGTCAGCAGCACGCCGTCCGTCTCCCTGCGCGGCCGCCTCCGCCCGCCACGCACGGCGCGGCA